TTTTTACATCTACATCACTGGACTAATACGGCTACAATCTCTACATATATATATATATATGTAAATAGAACAAATAGAACAAATTATATATATATTAATATCAAAACACACGTAGAATGCTATTGATTATATATATATATATATATATATATATAAATATAATATATAATATAAAATAAATATATATGTAAATACATTAAAAAATAAAATTAAAAAAATTATTGAAAATAAATAAATATATGTGTAATTTTGTTGTAACTGTGTTTTAAAATTTATATATATATATTGATATCAAAATACACGTTGAATGAAATAAAATATATATCTATATACATAAGTATATACGTATATATATACCTATATATAAATACAAATAATTTAAAAAAATTATATATATAGTCCCAGGGCCGGATTAACATAGGGGCTGATGGAGCTGCAGCTCCAGGCCCAGGCCCATTTAAAATAAAAAAAAAAAATTTCTTTTTGTTTTTTTTTTTTTTACTTTTTGTTTTTGTTTTTTTCGTTACACACACTACTCTTAGGTTTGCCACCTGACTGGTATTTTAAGGCACAGACGATATTTGAGGCTGCCTGGCCGTGCCGGTATTGCTGTAATACCGGCAATACAAATGCAAATATATTTCTCCAGAGATTACTCTGTAATACCAGCACCAGCCAGTAGGGGTCACTGTGTATGGAGAGAGGCAGGGATAGAAAGTTACATCATCTCCCTGCCTCTCTACTCACTGATCCGCGGAGGAGCAGCTACACAGCACAGAGAGTCCAGACAGCAGCCCCCAGCCTACAGAGACAGACTACAGCTCAGGGAAGTGACGGATGGGGGGAAAGGGAGATATGGGGACACTAGGGGACACTAATACACTGGGAGATGTGGGGACACTGAGACACTTGGGGACACATGTATATGTCCACAAGTGCCCCTATGTCTCCCAGTGTCCCCAAGTGTCTGTGTCCCCATGCCTCCCAGCCAGTGTCCCTAGTGTCTCAGTGTCCCCATGTCTCCCAGTTTCCCCTAGTTTCTCAGTGTCTCTAGTGTCTTAGTTTCCACAAATGTCTGTGTCCCCATGTCCCCTATTGTCTGTGTCCCTAGTGTCTGTGACCCCATTTCTCCCAGTGTCCCCAAATGTCTCAGTGTCCCCATGTTTGTATCCACAAGTGCTCCCAGTGTCCCCAAGTGTCTCAGTGCCCCCATGTCTCCCAGTGTCCCCAAGTGTCTGTGTCCCCAGGTCTCTCAGTGTCCCTATGTCTCACTGTGTCCCCATGTCTTTCAGTGTCCCCTAATATCCTAGTGACATGGGACACACTGAGACATAGGGACACTGGGAGAAATGGGGATACAGACACAGGGAGTCTAAGGGACTGGGCGACATGGGGACACTGACACTGTGATACATAGGGACACTGATGCCAGGGTGGCCCCTTTCTGCAGTTCTGGTCACGTGATTCGCCTCAGTGGCCCACCCTTTTACCCCGCCCATTGACTTACTGCTTCACTGGACACTGCTGTTAGGGGGTATGGATTTACTTGAAAGATGAAAGCATAAATTAGAGAGAGATAAGCATAGAGTATGCGTTTTCTTATAGCTGCATACTTTGAGTTTCCATCTCCATTAGATACATGATGCTTAAGAGGTACGACTGTTTTAGTGTTTTTGGTCGATAAATTCTGTAATTAGGCCCCATCGTAATTGTCAGCACCAGGCCTACTGGGCTCTTAATCTGGCCCTGTATAGTCCAGTCCTTGCATTCAGATTAACCCTGCAATGACTTGCATAATGTTTAGTGCCGGGTGCTAATAGCCACATATATATAATAATTCTTCGTATATATTTATGTAATAATTTTACATAATTAGGTCATTTTATTAATTACAATTTGAGGGACCTGCCTGACAACCCAGGCTGAAAGTCCAGGGAATTTAATTTGCTAGCACTATATATTTAGCCCTGTAAATTTCCAAAACAGATATAAGTGTTTCAAAACAGTAAAATGTATTACAGCGATGATATGTCAGTGAAAGTGACATTTTTTGCATTTTTCACACACAAATGGCACTTACACAGACAATATAATTGTTGTGATACGTTTTACTATTTTAAAACACTAATATTTGTGTTCAGCAAAGTCTCCTGAGTATAACAATACCTCTCATGTACAGATTTTATGGTGTTTTCAAAAGTTAGAGTCAAATATAAGGCTTGCGTTTCAGTTTTTTCACATTGAAATTCGCCAGATTGGTTATGTTGCTTTGAGACCGTATGGTAGCTCAGGAATGAAAATTACACCATGATGGCATACCAATTACAATAGTAGACAACCCAAGGTATTGCAAATGGGGTATGTCCAGTCTTTTTTAGTAGCACATTTACATACCTAAATATTTGATGTTAAATGAAAGCCCTGTTTCCCCTGAATAAAATGATATATAATAAGTGTGGGTGCACATAATATGAAATTACGTCTGAACAGACATATAGCGCAAATTCAAGTTTTTGTTTACATTTTGTTTTGATCACAACGTGTAGATTTGGCTCAGTCCTTAAGGGGTTAAATAGGCTGGTGGCGTGGAAAAATTTACAAATAACCCTTCAGACTCCAGCACTCAAAGCCTAAATCTGAAAATAAACCCTTTACCTTATTCCTATGTTTAACTCCTCTAAAAAATGTAATACCTCATGCACCTCAATACTAAATTTCACCCAATTCTGTCCCTATAGTCAGTACTCCAAAACACCTTCATACTACAACTTTAACCCCTATTGAGTTGTTAATCTTCTTATTACTAAACATCCTATGTCATCTAACTCTGATGTTAACACCTCTCTGACCTAAACCCCTGCTTTACCTTAACAACGTCTAATATAATTTTTAACCCTACATGCATTTACACAAATGCATACACGCACAATACTCACAGATACAAACCTATTATTGCCATTTATATAGTATAATATATCACAAGCAGTGCATAAATCTGCACACACATACATTTATGCATATGTAGTTGTCAAATATTAATGTTTTTTTCTAAATATTTAGGCCTGCTGTGTCTATTTAATAAATTAACCTGCCTTAGGATTGGGACATATGGGTACATGGCATGTAAATCAGGCCCTGCACATTGCTTTGAGCATTTGATGAAGCAACATAAAAATATTTGATAAGAAGTATTCTTCAGCTTGATATCCTGGTAATTAGATTGACTAATTAGCCTTCAACTGAGCTTGTCGGTGAAGACAGCCTTCAAGTGACTTGCTTACTTGAGGGCTAGTTAGTTAGTTAACTTAATTATTAGTATATCAAGTTGAAGGATAAACAATAAGCATAACTAGAAATTGTGTCAAGTGTTCTTGCCTCCACCAGTAGTCTACAACTGGAGTGGCTTGAGTAACTGTTGTGTGGTTGGAGTGGCTGGAGTAACTGTGGAAAGGTTGGACTGGGCAGAGTAAATTTATGAAACGTTGATTAGCTGTATTGTTGTAATATTGTATGTTACTGTTTTTCTGTTACAAGTATAACGAATTGACTAACATGGAAATATATTTATTAAGTGTGATAGTGCTCACTTTTGTGTTTTCAAAACTGTAGTTTGACAGCAGTTTAGAGAATGTGTTTCATCTAGCAGCCTGTGTGTTCTAGAACACTCTGCTGGCTGCTCACACACCTGGGTTCCTATGGCAACTCACTCTACAGCAAGGGCAGAGAAGAGCGGTTAAAAACAAACTGCTACAAATTGCTCACTTCATCGGCGGTTGCAATATTCAAACGGTTGTAGTTTAAAAACTATAAATCCTACAGTGAAGAGCTTTATATTGTGAGAATCACAAGACCCAGACCTACATTTAGGCTCTGATTGCACAGCGTGCAAACCACTAGTGTCTTGTTGTCAGCACATTGTCTGAAGAACTGCCACGCCAGGGAACTCCTTGGAGCTGGCTTTGGTGTGCCCGGTGCCTGGGTGCGGTGGGCAGTAGCAGGCATACTGTCTAGGGGACGGCCGCTCCGCTTTTGCACCCTGCTCTAGGAGGAGGAGGTGGATGTGGAGTAGTAGTTTGAGGAGGCGGTGACCGTGGCGGTGTAGGTGGAAGTGGCGGTGGAGGAGGAAGAGGTAGCCAACACTGTTTTTTTTTTTTTTTAATTTTAATTGGGGTAGCCCCCAAAATATTGGGACATATAAAAAAAAGAAAACAAAGCACTTGAGTATAACAATGGCTGGGTGAGGCCGGTATAAATGTCTATTCTGCACAAGGTACAGACAAGTCTGGTGGGATCCATGCCTGGTTCATTTTAATAAATGTGAGCTTGTCCATGTTGGCTGTGGACAGGCGGCTGCGCTTGTCTGTGATAACGCCCCCTGCCGTGCTAGACACACGTTCAGACAATACACTGGCTGCAGGGCAAGCCAGCACCTCCAAGGCATAAAGGGAAAGCTCAGGCCATGTGCTCAATTTGGAGACCCAGAAGTTGAATGGGGCAGACCCATCAGTCAGTAGGTGCAGGCGTGTGCACATGTACTGTTCCACCATGTTGCTGAAATGCTGCCTCCTGCTAAGACGTTCCATATCAGCTGGTGGTGCTGGTTGTTGTGGCATGCTGACAAAGCTTTTCCACATTTAGGCCATGCTAACCGTGCCTTGTGAGGTGCTGGCGGTGCCCCAGCTGCGTTGGCGACCTCTTCCTCCCCCTCTGCCTTTGCCTTGTGCTTCCACTGAGCCCCCGGTGTCAGTTGGGAATGCCCTCAGCAGCGCATCTGCCAGCGTGCGCTTGTAGTCGCGCATCTTCCGATCACGCTCCAGTGAGGGAATTAAGGATGGCACGTTGTCCTTGTAACGGGGATCCAGCAGGGTGGCCACCTAGTAATCAGCACAAGCTAGAATGTGGGCAACTCGGCAGTCGTTGCGCAGGCACTTTGGTGAGTCTAGATAACCTCGGGCCGATCGCACGTCCCCGTAACGGCAACAACGCATTCGGATGACTGCCCTATCAACTTTCGATGTTACTTGCTGCGCCTACCATGGTGACCACGGGTAACGGGGAATCAGGGTTCGATTACGGAAGGGAGTCTGAGAAACGGCTACCACATCCAAGGAAGGCAGCAGGCGCGCAAATTACCCACTCCCGACGCGGGGAGGTAGTGACGATAAATAACAATACAGGACTCTTTTGAGGCCCTGTAATTGGAATGAGTACACTTTAAATCCTTTAACGTGGATCTATTGGAGGGCAAGTCTGGTGCAGAGAGACTGACCCGTGCGTGCTGCAGCTGAAACTCCACTATCACCTGCTACTGCTTGTACAGTCTCTCAAGCATGTGCAAGGTGGAGTTCCACCTTGTGGGCACGTCGCATATGAGGCGGTGAGCGGGAAGGCCAAAGTTACGCTGCAGCGCAGACAGGCGAGCAGCAGCAGGGTGAGAACGCCGAAAGCAGTGAAACTGTGAATGGCTCATTAAATCAGTTATGGTTCCTTTGATCGCTCAATCTGTTACTTGAATAACTGTGGTAATTCTAGAGCTAATACATGCCGACGAGTGCTAGGAGACGGCTGCTCCTCTTTTTCACCCTGCTCTCTCTTATGCTGTGATGGTGCCTTTGTGCGACCTCCGCCTCTTCCTCCAAACTGCACACGTCACTTGCATGACCTTCATTCCATGTGGGGTCTAGGACCTCATCATCCTCCACATCATCCAGGATGGGTGAAGGATGGCGATACCCCGTTGCAGCTGCATCGCTGGAAGTGGGGTCCGCGGTGCTTATGGTGTCTGGTGGAGTGCTGGAATTCCTCGGTGAGCACTAGGAGCATCGATTGGCGGAGGGTCAGGCGGTCCGTCACAAATGAATACACAGATATTCTATAAAATCATTCCGCCAAGAATATAAATATGAACTCTTTAGGGCCATAAGGTCTAAGTGACTGATGTGAAAAGGAAGGGCTTGCATTTTAGCTTTAAGTTTGTAAAACGATGTCTAGTTCCACTAGTTAAATAAAAAGTCTCAGACCTGAAACCAATGTTGAAACCCCAAGTGTTGACATGAGCTGTGGGGTTGCTGTACAATGCCGCAATTGCATTTATAAAAGATGTGGAAAGATTAAATTTACTTAGCGTCTTCCACAAGTACCCCCAGTGAATTCTGTCAAACACCTTCTCTGTGTCCAAAGATAGAAGCAGAGATAGTGGTATGTACATTTCTAAGTGCGTTGTTCTATTTCTTCAGATTAAAGGGACACTGTAGGCATCCAGAACACGTCATGTCAGGTCATGTCCCTTAACCCTGCAATAGTAAATATTGCAGTTATTGAGAAACTGCAATAATTACTATCCATGGTTAACTCCACTTCTAGTGGCTGTTTCCCAGACAGCCACTAAAGGGACTCCCTGGTTTGAAACAGACCTTTGGTCCAGTATCTGATGCTGGAGATCCTCACGCTCTGCTATGTTATTTATACACTGTTGGGATTGGGTTTTTCTTTGATCACATTACAGTCTTCCACTTATGATTTTGCATAGTTTATATATGCTACTGTGATATGCATAGACACATACACACAATGTATCCACTATACACACACTGCATGCAATACACAGCCACTGCACACACACTGCATCCATTACACACACTACACACACTACATCTGCAACACAGACACTACATTCACTACACACACTGCATAACATAATGCATGTGGGCATGTTTTGGTTGCTGTGGTTTTGTTGTGGCAGGGGGGAGAGCAGCATTTCATTTTTGGACCCAGGCAGCACTCCTTAGATGGCCACTGGAGGGGCTTCCTGGCTCAGGGCTGCACGGTAAGCAGCCCTGCCATTCAGCGTCCCCATGCTCTGCATGGAGATGCTGAATTTTCTTCATAGAGATGCATTGATTCAATGCATCTATTTGAGGAGGTCCTGATTGGCCAAAATGGCATTTGGTCCCGCCCTGTGCCGATTTTAGCCATACCAATGCTTTCCCTATGCGGTGCTGGAAATAGGGTGAGTTTTAATCTTTTATATGTGGGCTCAGGGGAGGGAAGCTACCTAAATGGTGGATTTAGCACTATAGGGTCAGGAATACATGTTTGTGTTCCTGACCCTTTAGTGATCCTTTAATTAGGTTCCAGCTGTGCTGTCCTGTGGTGTGGAATGATCATGAACGTTTCCCTCAGGCGTTTGTCGTTGCCTGGGAGATGTGACCCGCTTAGGGGAAATCGCCACCAGAGCAGTGAGGGTGCAGAGGTAAGTCGTGACACCACCCATGCTGTATTTTAGGTGATTTATTGGACAACTTGGGTTCTGGTGTTTTCGTGAGTGTTGGCCAGCCATGCACCACTCATTATAATTGTTAGTTATGACTTTGCTACTTGATTATAGCCACTGAAAAGGTGACTCTAGGGAGTTAACCTTTTAACGTGTACATACTCTTGTGTCTTTTGGGAAATACCAGCACCAAATGTGTTGAGATCATTACTGGTTCATCATCAGTCAACTGTAAATCATTGTCAAATGACAGGTACTGCCCGAAACCATAATGGACATAATGTTTTAATTTTGTTTAGCTTTATTGCTTTCCATATTCCCGGTGTTATTTTTTGTTTTATAATAATAAATTGAATGATTTTTTTTTTTTAAATAACCATAATTTTCAGAACAAATGGATAATACCTGAGATAAGCTATGAAATATGTTTCTTTGTAAAATGGTCACATTCTCAATTAAGTACTTTTGCTTAGTAATCTTTCCTGTGCTATCCAAAATGTTTAACACACAGACTAATGAATAGATAAAAACTTAAGGGTTTCAAAGTATAAAATAGCCTTGATGAAAATATGAGTGGAACAGAAAGTCTCTTCACAGTTTATAAAAACATTGAAACAATTTGAAGACTTACACCTGAGTAGAAAATTAAAATATAAAAAAACATACAGCAGTAGTTTCCATATATTTTATTCCCACAGTATTCAGGAAGGGCTTAAGTGAACAAAATACATCCGCAGGGAAATATTCTGAGGAAGTTATTTTATGAGTCTCAAAATAAGCTGTAAAAAAAAAAGTTCTTATTTGGCTCTGGGACAGAGGCGAGGAAATCAGCCAGAGCTCTCCTGGATCGGCGTAAATTCAGCTCCAAGAATCGGCAATTGGCAACGAAGGGTGAGTATTTGGTTGATTTCACTATTTTATTAAATTTGATACAAAATGACTTGTTAACTATGATTTAAAGGACCACTAAAGGGTCAGGAACACAAACATGTATTCCTGACCCTATAGTGTTAGAAACACTATCAAGCCCCCTGTTCCCCACTTACCACCCTGAATATAGTAAAATCTTACCTTTATTCCTGTCTGCTGGTGCTGGCCCAGCCCGTCATCTGCCATCTTGGCTGACATCATCAGAAGTGATTATCTCAGCCAATCACAATGCTTTCCCATAGGAAAGAGTTGGATTGGCAGAGATTGTCAATTCTGATGGGTGATCTCAGCCAAGGAGGTGGGACGGGGCAGATCCTAACACTGCCCTGATCAATCAGCATCTCCTCATAGAGATGCATTGAACCAATGCATCTCAATGATAAAAGTTCAATGTCTCCATGCAGGGTCTGGAGACCCTAATTAAAAACCTGTTATAACCCATGAGATGTGTTCTTTGTCTCTCTCTCTCTGTTGGGATCGTCCATAAGGACACCATTGTGCTCAAAGTTATTACTGCTTCTATCATTCTCTGGTGTTCTTAGGTGACCAAAAACAATATAATATTAGACTTGAAAGAATAATAATAATAAACAATGCCTCCATTCTATTAAACCTGTGGGAACTATCAATGTATCCACTACTGCACCCTTATCTACTTTTCCACCAAAGAGGCATTCAACTAAACCCAAGCCAAAATCTTTCCTCCACACAGACCCTATGATTGTGCAATTGATTTATTGCCACCGACAGGTTGGGTACCCTTTGTAATCTCATAAAAGCATAGTAATGGAGGAGAATATCCAAGTTATCTTGCTAGGGGTTTCATAGATTGATCATTCTCTCCTACAGATGCAGGGTTTTTCTTGGTCTCTTAGAAACAGGGTGATCTATGCCCCTGTATTGACTATAGGGGGTCTTATAAGTTATTTGATAGACTACAAGGGTCCTTGATCTCCAGAGTGTGTATATCCTAGTTGAGATCAAGGAGGACCGTGAATGGAAAACAGCAGTAAACACGAGAAGGGAGCATTACAAATACTTTGTGATGCCATTTGGTTTATGTAATGAACAAGCAGTATCCCAAGACTTCATAAAAGATGTGTTAAGAGAATACATACATACATTCATGCATCCTAGTATATCTTGAAGATATAGTCATTCTCTCTCTTGACCAGAACACTGCCCACATACACATAAAAACATATTGACACTCTATTACAGAATGGTTTATACTGTAAATTAGATACCAGACTGTGAATGCCAAAGAAGTGATACATGCCTCTGGCTTGTAACATAAAGATATTGATCATGTTTTTGTTTTTATAGATTTGTAAAGTTAAATAAAGTGTAAACTTTTATAAAATTGTTATCCAGTGTAACTGCACTTTCTAAGGGGGTGGTATGATCCTCATCCATACAATGCTGTTACACTGAGCCATTTTCTAAATGGTTCTAAAGCTATATTGGCCTATATATGATTTTTAAAAAGAGCCAATATCAATACATACATCTTAAAGCTGGGGCACCACAAGCCGTTTATACCAGAGCTAGGTACATAGTTTTTTGAAGTATAAGTGTTAAATTTTACCTTATTATATGTGTTAAAAAAAAAAGTTTTACACAATTGTGTATATTTATTGTATTTTAAAGGTACTTATACCACACACTGTCTGAATATATGTGCATAAAAGAGATAAGTATTTTTTTAAAGAGTTTGTAGATGTGGTTAGAAAAAATATTATTTTATACATGCATGATGTATAGAACACCACTATATTTGGTTTGTTAAATTTAGGAAAATGCTTATTTAATCAAACAGAGGTACAGTTCATTGGTTATATTATCTTGGCCAATTGATTTAGAATGGATTTA